CTCATCAAGATAGAATTAGTGAAAGTCCCTTCAACTAAAAGCTATTATCCTGTTTTATCTAATCTTTTTGTGACTTTGCACAGTTTGGCTACACCTGAAATGTTTTGCCATCTTAAATTGAACAAAATATATCCTCCCTGAGAGATGGAGAACAAAGATCCAAAACAAACATCTGGCTTCTGAAAAACAGCTGCTTTTACAACTGCTTTAAATTTCAGCTTTTAGTCAGAATGTTTGACTGTTTGATCTTCTAAATACTCCAGATACTGTTTGGGTAAAATAAAGGAGGTGTGAAGGTGTGGAATTCAGAAGTGTCCTGCTTAAAAGAGAGATGCCAATTACAGAATGTACAGAGAGATAAAGGCAAATGTGTAGACATGTGCATGCAACACCATATATACCAGTCAAAAGTTTGGACAGAATGGCTCTAAATCCCTGAAATGTCTCTGTACATATAATGCGTTAACGGGTTAACCGCCCTAACATGTTGTCGCTGTGCAGCTCCACACACGGGGCATATATATATATGTGTGTGTGTGTTAGGGCTGTCAACGTTAACACATTAATATGTCATTATGATATTGTAATGACATATTAATGTGTTAACGTTGACAGCTCTAATGCCACATTGGAACGTAACAGTTCTTGCTTTTTATTTTCTCTTTTTCTCACAGTTTTAAGCTTCTACATGGTTGCAACTGGTAGAAGACCACAGTTTGGGTTACAGTAGTTCTCCAGCACATTTTATAATGTGCTGATCATATGTTTTTAATTGTAACACAGAGTGATCATTTACTGATATGAATCTGAGACAAGCTTGGAATGAGAGACTTATCTCACTATGGCCTAAACCCAGTACTTCAAAGCACTGATGCAAAGGAACATTTAGTACATTAATTTTTAGAAACTAACAGCTTTCATTAAACTGCAGTATTTGATAGAATGGAAAGGTAAACAATCTGATAAACCAGCTGTAACAAATACAAAAACAGGCTATTTTTCTGTGGTGATTTAAAAAAAAGAGATAAGTGACTGTGAAAGGACAGGAGGACTGACCTTATAGAGTAAAAAAAAAATCGTTATTATATATATATAACTTAAAATAAACAACAGTAAAATTTAAAACAACCTCAAATATCTACAACCATAAACTGTTACCTATCCATTAATGCAGCATTTACACTGATACATACAACGTGGACAATGAATTAAGGGATCAGAGAAAACAGAATCTTTCCTACCTGAGAGACAGAGAACAAAAACCCAGAACAAACATTCAGCTTCTGTGGAGAACATGTCTGTTGCAGACTGCACTGTCTTATCAGAAAGTTGATTTATAAGTTTTCAAAAAACTCAACTGCTATCATATTCGAGAGTGACTGCTTTAAACCAGAAGTCATCTTCTTAAAACTGCGAAGTCTGATGACAGAATGGACAAAGAAATTAGGGCAAATGTGTTTGCATGCAACAACTTCAGATCACTTCCTCTTGTGGAAAGACGAAACCTCAACCAAAGTGTCAAAGTAACTGTTTCACATATTTCTATATCTCTATATATCTAGATATTTATTAGTATACACACACACACACACACACACACACACACATATATATATATGTGTATATATATAGTTATATGCATGACTTAATGGTTTTTTTTGTTTGTTTGTTTTTTAATGTTTCCATGTTGTCAGAGTGAGAACAGCTACATGTGGTTTGGTTGTCATTTTGTGGTCCAGATAAAACTAAGAAGAAAACCCACAGACACAGACACTTTGAACTTTTAATGTTCAATTCAAAAGCATCTCAAGCTCACACACGAAAACTTCATGAAACAACAGGTTTTTGTCTTGCTTTTAGTACAACATCAACGTTTACTGCCAAATATTTCTAAAGTCAGAAGTCAGCCATGTTTTTTCTTTTCAACTTATTTTTATAATGTGTTTTATGCAGAGTTTAAAAACAGATACACCAGTTGTGATGCTGAAGTCATACAAAAGTCACTCAACTACAGAGGAATACTATTTTTTAATATATGGTGACAAACTTTATTGAGCAGAAAGTTGGAGTAGAGCCTGCTGTTCCAAAACCAGGATGGAAACAACTTCCTTTCTGAGGGCGTGTGTAGCTACTGAATGAGTGGATGTTTGGTCTGCTTCTTTTTTCAATTTTTTTTTTTTGAGGGTGTGAGAAGTCTACAAGGCTGTCATTTTTCTTTGAGACGAAGATGTTCAGGTTTTGGTTGAGAGAGGTGTGGTATTGAATTACTTGTTGGCAGCTGTCTCTCCGTCATTTGTATCCTCAGTGTGGATCTGTTGCCCACCTCCTTAATTCCAGATGAACAGATCATCGTGGTTGCAAAGACATCAGACTCCAACACGTTTAGTCTCTTTAAAGACAGACATTTATACATATGAATGACCCTTTGAAAGACATTTGATTCGTGTACTATTATTGTCCCAGCTCAGTTACACATGATGTGCTTTGACAGCAGTGCTCATC